CTTCACTATACCACAGAAAGCTTACTAAATGAATTAGTTAATAGAGTTTTGCTTCATTGAAATACAAATCATAACAACTTCGAACATAACCTACTCCCCAGAATTTCCATGGAATAATTCTGTAAGTCTGCATGGAGAAGGGCTAATGAAAAGCTTGTCTTTACCATCTTCAAGAACTGGGTTCCAATCCAACCCAAAGACAATTAGCAGCCAAATGAGATAAGACATTTTTTACGGTGTTCTAATAATGCTACCTTTATGGAGCTCATACAGGAGGCAAATTGTTTTGTTCAGGCTGGCTCTGTATGGGTGGATGTTTTAAAGATATGCTGCCCTTGTCTTAAATTTGAGCAAAACTGACTTTAAAATGTGAAAAACGTGCATGCTATTCAATACTTTATTCCAGTCCTACATACTTGTTCAAAAGTAGCTATGCAAAGCTTCAGAATATTTCCAATACCTAAGGTAAGTGCCACATATACATAATTCTTTGTAGCAAGAATACAAAGAAACACAAACCCTTCCTCAGATATTCTGAAAGACATCTCACTCTTTTCCATGTGAGCACACTTCTGAAAGAAAATACAATGCACAGCAAAAAGCACCCTAGCCTTGCACCAGCATAACAGGGCCAGACCCATAGGACAGGAATAGTCACATGCAAAAATACTGATTCCTGGGCATATTTAAAAAAAACACCTATTAGCTTTTTAAAAAAAGATTCTGGGTACTGCATATGTTCACCTTCACAAGCATCAGTTAATTTATTATTAATCCAGTATTTCAGAAAAGACAAAAGAGAACAGTTACTTGTTAAGCACTATCAAGATAATTTACAGGGAAAGGAAATCTGAACTAGCAACCTCCTTTTTCACAAGCATGGTCACTTTAAGACAGGATGTCTAATGACTTCCAGATGTTCCAAAGTACCATTCTTATAGTCCCTTCCCAACTGGCCATGCCGGGTGAGGATAATGGAAGATGAAGCCCAAAGCACTCAGAGGAGATTACCTATAATGCCTATTCTCTCCCTAGTACAAAGTGGGAAGGATTTTTTTTTTTATGCTGAATGCTGAATCAATTAAATTATGCAAAATGAAGTCATAGCAAAAATGTCCCTAAATATTCTAGGCTAGAATCCAGCACTTGTTTTGATTTTGGAAGTTCTGCCATTATCAAAATTCATTCATAAAAGCAGATTTCTGCTTTTTACACAGCATTTAAACATTTACAATATTACAAGGTGTAGAAGACATGATTTATGAAGTACATCCTTGAAAAAATATACATTAACACAATACAAACTTTCAAAGCTAATTTGTCACACAGTAGCAGGAAAAAAACATGCAAATGTTGCTGAAAACAGATTTCAGATTAAATTTGCAAACCTACATCTTAGGGTGTTTCAGATAATCACTGGATTTGTACAAAACAGTCATATTATGTCTAGCATGGTCCATTTCCTCTTAATAGTGAGAATAATGAAGAAGTCATGAACGAAAGCTAAAAAACTAGACTTAATATGTTGCATTTCAAGTCCTACAGTAACTCAATGCTTGCCAGAAGCATCAATGAACTGCCCTTGTTGATACCTAATTCTTAAAATGGCTCAATATGTTGTACAAACTTGTTAGGAATAGAATTTTAGATCTTAACAAGGTGGCAATAATGCCTTCAATAAAATGACAAATTCCAGTAGTCATTATGGAATAACCTATATATAACATATTTATTTCAGATGTCAGAATAAAACACAGCTAATTTGAACCGTAGTAGTGTTAATTATTTGCTGATATCAAGCCCTTGAAACAAATTTCTGAAAGTAAAAAGACCAACTTTTAAAAAATGCCAATGTAGCATAACCACTGATATTAAACTTGAAAGCAAAATTGATATTTTGCTTTCTGTGCAAAATACAGAGCCAGCAAGACCAACATCAAAAAAGGTACCATCCTCTTCTTTTCCTTCTCAAGAACCAAACTAACCAAAATCTAAACACTAAAAAGTTCTGACTCAGATAAAATTGCAAAACATCCCTGAGCTATTTAGCCCTATATAGCACAATGGAAGCTGGGAAGTCTTTTTTTTCCCCCCTATTTTCTCTGAACATGATTACATTCCATAGTTAATGTTTCAGGATGGCTAAAACCCTGAACAAAGCAAAGCTGATATAGAACTGTGCATATTTTACATCTGGCATACATTTAAGAATAGCCCTGCTGAATCAAACCAGAAATCTCTCTAGCTTGGCATCCTGTGTTTTATGGTTATCAATTAAATGGCTTCGGGAAGACCACAAGCCAGTAATAGCTTTGTCTTCCTGTGACGGCCAAGAATACAGCCTGTGAAAAGAAAAATTACATATAGCAATCATGTTAATAGCTATTAAAGAACTATCCTCTAGGAATTTAACTCTTTTAAGACCATTTAAATTAGTCACATATATTGTGACAATGAACTTCAAAATTTAACACTGTGAAGTAGTTTTTTCCTATAGCATTCTGAGTTTAAAATTATGACAGAATTTCCCAAGTTTCTTCATATCATGTATATGCTTATAATGCTCCTCCCTATCCCTATATGCCTTTTTTTGCCATTATATTACTCCACTCTTCAGTTACCCTCAAACAAGTGGTGCTTCAGTCTCTCAAACATTTTGATTGCCTTTTTCTGCTCTTCCAAAATAGAACAATCAAAACTGTAAACCAAGAAGATACTGAAGTTATTTTCCTGCTGATATTTTTATTTATATAATTCATCTTAATGCAATACCATTAACAAACATCAAATCAGAGTGCCATCAGTTATATCTGTAGCTGTTGTAAAAAAAAAATAAAAAGGGAAGTAATTTCCTTATATTTCTTTCTTTCCTTTCTGCACTTTTGGCTTTGTTCTTTTTTTCCTTTATCTTAAATATTAGTAACTTGTTAGTTTTTATCTTACTTGTTTAAAAATTTAATAATGTTATTACAAAGAAAACCAGAGTGTCATCAGCCTTCCTTACATAAAGGAGATCATTGAAGGAAATGTTCCTAATTTCTCAGACTGTACCTTCCAATAGGATATATCAGCCATGAATGTGAAAAGTAGTAAAATATAGAAAATAAGTATATTCACTGTTCTGAAAAGATAAAAACAAATTCCTTATCAAAACCACTGGAATAACATCATCTTTTGTTAGCTGAAATGTCTTGCTGTTAAGTATCTTCAGTTAGCAGTAACAACTCACAACTGGACCTTTTATTTTCAGTATGAACATATTAATTTTCATCCAAAAAATATGTATCCCAAGGATAAATTCTGTTGCATCTATCCAAAATCCTTAATTTGCTTCAGACTGCTGTATGCCTGATAACATAGTCACTTTCTCTTCTCATAGCTGAGGGATTTGGTAAGCTGACATGGCTTGATTCTGTTTTTATGCTTCCCTTAGCCTTCTCATGTCTAAATCATGTGCTATGTGATGCCTATCCTCAGTAGATGGCATCTTGTCCCTATCTGCAACCCCAGAACAGCTGAGTTAGGCTTCTAAGCAACACTATTTAGAATAACAAAATATAGGTGGTGCCAATTATATTGGCTCCTCCTTAATATCAAACAGTTCTCTCACAGAACCTAGAAATTTGCATCTGCAAAGCAGGCTGTTAAAAGCTTCTATTACAGCAGACTCATGCATGGAAGCCTTTTCTGACAGGCTGATCATCACTACCAGCTGAGAGACAACAATGACTAACTATAAGTACACCCACATTCTACAGATATGCTACACTTTAAGTTATGCTAAAGTTTATACTATATCATGCATTATTTATAATAAAGTGAATATTGTAAACTTTTTTCTACTGAAACTGAAATTATAGTTTTACTGTGCAAATGACCATGTTTTGGTTGAAATTCAAATGAACTGTTGTATTCTCTCTCCCATGTTATACAGTCCTTTAAGTATTTTATCCAATCTAAAAGCATCTAAGTAAAAAGAAGATTTTTTTTAGGTGAATTCCTATAAAATAAGGGAAATTCCAGGAAAATACAACCAGATATATGCATGCATCGCGAGTCACAGATATTTCTAAATGTATCTCAGCAGCTGCAAAGTGGAAAAAAGTTAACACATTCTCAATATAATAAAACTCTTGAATACTAAGCTGAAGTAACACATTAAGGTGGTGGCTACACACCACCAACAGAGAAAGTCTGATTAATAATGTTATCAATAGTGTACTCCAGAGTGGTAATACTGTTGTAGCGTATTTACGTAGATATGGCACTACAGCTTTCATACACTGGGATCCATTTCACCTACCAGATGCTTGATAAAACAACCCATTCTTTAGGCATTAGTGCAAAGAAGTCTATTATACTACAGGGTGGCTACCCTCTACAACGGCCTACATATTGCTAAAGGTCGGCAGCAGCTAACGGGGTGTGGTGGGGTAGAAGCCGGCGGGCAGGGGGGGGGGAAAAACCGAGCGGCTCCTACTTTTACCTACAGTACGCTGGTCTGGCAGACTCATTGCTGTAGTAAAAGGACGAGAGGTAGTAGTGGCGGCGGCGAACAGCGCGAAGGAACGCTACCCAGAAAGCCTGCTGGGGACGTGGGGAACTTCGCCTGCCGGGGAAGCTCTGCAGACCCAGCCTCGCTTCGGGAGAGGCGGCGGGGGGGGGACGAAAGGGCGCCCATGTAAGGAACAGCTGCCGTTCCATCCGGGTTCGAGCAAAGAGGCGGAACGTTTAGCGAGGCTTCCATCGGAGCGCGCGGGCTGGGGAGGGGGCTTCATTCACAAGGCGAACGAGGCCATCAGCCCACGCTCCCCCGAAGGCAGAGGACATGTGTTCGCGTACGCGCATACGGCACCCCCCCCCACCTTCAGTGCCCTTCGCCAAGCTCCCCGTCTCGCTTCCACCCGAGGGGAAAGGGAAGACCGTCGCTCCTCGCGCTTCAGAAATGCCCCCTCGTCTCTCAGTCAGGGAGTCAGATCCGCCCACCCGCCAGCGCTCACCTTCCAGCAGCCTGGTGATAAGACTGTCCACATTCAGCTCCCCGTCCGCCATTTTGTAACCAATGGACTCGTCCCGGGCGGAAACACAGAAGACGCTTCACCGAGGAGGCGGCGGCGAAAGCAACAACTCCCTCGCAGATCCCTCCCTCCCGGCCGCGGCTCCAGCCCTCCCGAGCTCAGCCCCCGAAAGCGCCCAGCCCAGCGGGGTCCCCCGTCCTACTTTCTGCTTCCCCAACGCCGCTAAGCAGGGAGGAGGGAGGGGGAGTGAGAAGGCGACGAAAGCGAGACCGCCACTCCTCCTCCTCCTCCCCCCCACTCTCCTGCCTGCTTTAGGCCTCTCCGCGCAGGCGCCTTGCTTTCTTTCCACAAGTGCGCGCCTCTTGTCAACAACTGCGCGGGAGTATCGGGTTCGGCTACGAAAGGCCGGAACGGCTTCTAGGCCACCTCCCTCCAGGAGAGCCTGCGCAAGCGCAATAGGCTTAAGGCCGCCGCACATGGACGCGGTTCGCTCCGGACCGCCCTTTACCTGTTTAGCCCCCAGCTCTAGTGTCCTCGTAAGAGGAATGCTAGGCCTAAGTCACAGACGTGGAGACGTGCTGGCTCCTGCAATGCCCATCCATTGAAGAGCTTATAGGTTTTTAGTGTTTCTCGCTCCGATTCCAAAATGTATTGGAAAGAGCCGAGAAGGAAGTTTCGGTAGAGCCAGAATCGCAGCTGATGATTCCGGTCTAAAGTTTTGCTCAGGCTTGTGTACTGATCACTCAAAGACAGGCTCGTGTTCTTTATTCTTTGCGGTAACTAATATTCGTTACCTTTAATACTTTTTCAGAGAGAAAGAGTTTTGAACAGAATCTTGTTTTTCTGGCCTTTCAAAAGATACTTGCGCTCAGGATTAGTTAATCCCCGGTTCTCCGAAGTTGAACACAGAAAAGTTGGACACTCTCACACGGGCGCAGGCTTAACTGAGATGCTTTGGAAGAATGTTGCCTAAGTAGAAAAGCGCTCTGCATGTGCTCAGGGGAAAATCTTAGAAGTTTGGAATTCAAAAGTTCAACTTTATTTGAATGCTTTGTCAGTAAAATACCATATTCTCATTTTACTTGGACATCATACCAAAGCTTCCAGTTCTGCAACTTTTGTCGGGATCGCTCTTTACAGTGGGGATAGGTATATGCTTGTCTTCTTCCCCATAAGCTTTGAAAACATCTCTGGTGTCGTATAACGCCACCCTTGTATAGTACAAGATAAGATCCAATTTATATATTTGGAGATTTTCACCATTCTTAGATGTAGCACATCTGGCACACTTTTCCTCCCCACTCTATTTTTTTCTTGGATTTAAACATAACATGGATGAGGATCTTCTGACCATTTTGTAGCTTTTCAACTGACCTACTCAAAATCCTGCTTCAGTATGGATTTTGGATATGTTTTTCAGATGGGCAGCACAGCTTTTATAACAACAGTTACCTTCTCTATTGCAAAAAAATAAGGGTGAATATAAGAAACCTTTAATTTTAAGAAAAGACAGGTACAAATGATTTGAAATCAGATATTTTGGGGAGTTTAAGAAAACCCAGTCTTCAGGAAAGTAATTTTAAAGGACATACTTCTAAATAGAATCCTAGAAAGAGTCCATTTAGTCCATGAGTCCACTCACTGTCAAATAACTATAGTTTCTGACTTGAATTTCTCTTCTGAGGATTTCATAAATGCATCCATTTAGTTTTCTTGATAATGAAACAAGAAGTTTGCCTTTGCTTTTCTGTTCAGTGCTGGATACCAAATTTTAAAAATCCCTGATTGATACTTTAAGAAGAACCTGGCAATAATAGAAAGCAATTAATTCATATTCCCTAGTAACATAAAATAAATGAACAATAGACCAACTGACTAACAGAGGTAAAAAGGAATTCAGAACCTCTGGGCTTTGGTAACAGATTTGCTATGTGACTAGTTTAGTTGACCTCTGAGAACTAAATTCTCTTAACTTATTCTCAAGAAGCCTTCTGGGCAAAATATGATTATTCCTAAGAGTACAACTAGGTGAAACGTAAGAGCTCTGATTGGATCGAATCAAACACTACTTTGAAAGCTGCATTGTCCGCACACATCATTATGCTGCTCTTAATTTCTCCCCCAAGTATTTATCTTAAGTAGGAAAACATTGAGTTCAAAATATTTTATGCATATTAGATCTCCCAACATCTTTTTATTTTACTACATCTTTTTATTTTCCATACCCAGATTATCACTTCATCTGATAGCCCCTATTACTTGCAGATGGAAAAACTTGCAAGACAAGATAGTTCCTGTAAAACATTGTCTACAAAAGAGACAAAGCGTGGCTGAAGAAGAGGAGAAACAGTAATAAGAATCCTATGAATCTGCATTTCTCTCTCTCTCAAAGTGAATGCTAGAACTGAGATTTGAGCTGCAAAAACTCAGATATCCACTGAATGGGAACAAAGAGGTAGAAGTACAGAAAAGTTTAATTCTTTGCTGCTGTCTAGCAGTTTTCCACATTTTTGCAGCTTAGATCTGATAGTCCTATAACATGCCTGCAAAAGGAGACAGCCCTACCACTTTAGCCTATAGATCTGATTCTGTGCCATGATTGGTTTCTTGACTGAACTGCCAAGCAATCTTTGTCCCATACCTTGAATTCTGTAAGATAGGGAGACCCCATACCTGCTTGACTTCAAAATACAGTAGTCTTCTTCCTCATTTTGCAATATGAGGAAATCATGTTTGCATTTAACATTTATTTTACTGTACCTATAGAAGGGATGCTGGATAAGATTGAAGGAAGAGAATCTCTGCAGGATCCAAACTCTTTGCTTCATGTTACCTCTACATATAATCAAGGCCATGAGAAGCACAGCTAACTTAATTGATGAATATAAGGCACTCCATTTATTGCCACAGCTAGCCAAGACTCATTCATCCTTGCACAACCAAAGCCAGCAGTGCACATATATCAGATAAACAGAGATTGCAGGATAGACGGAGGCTCCTTATGTGTGCACTGATCTAATGAACACATGTTAGGGGCTGGGCCCACCGGAAGCTACAATGGCTCCACTGTAAATCTGTACAATTAGAATGACATAAGGATCATTGGGGATCCTGTGAGCATTACTGTTGAGGTTGCTACATTGGATTTTTCTCCCAATGTTTTTATAAGATGGCTGGTGATGATTGAGAGTCGGAGTTGCAATAGGCACTGAAAAGCACTGAAAGAATGCCAACATTTAAAAGGACTATATAATTGTTTGTCAGGGCATGGGGCCTAAAAGGGTAAGAGTAACACTCAATTTCAGTGTTTCTCTCCCCCCAAAGAAATAGTGATATATATTATCATTCTTATATAGGCATTACAGTATCCAAGTTCCTTGTGAGATCTATTACTTATTGCCTAAAGAGACAATTTTATGTTAATGCTGAACTCTGAATTATTAATATATTCTGAAGATAGTATTCTGAACAGTTCTCACATTAATTCAAAGGGCTAAAAAGACTGATTTACACATTTGAGCTTCCTTGTCTTCTCTGTGCTATGACAGCATAAATAGAGTTGTGTTTCTGCAGGAAAATCAGTTTCATTTCTACAATTACAGATATTCATGTTAATCTTAGTGCACATACATATTACATGGACGTTTTTAACAGAGTTTATTGGTATGAATTGGTCTAAAACATACTTTGTTCATTAATTCTGTAAATAATAGAGTTGAACAATAAAAGAAATCAAGAGAAAAGAATAAATAAATTCAGTTGCTAGAGAAAGAATAAGATGGCCACAATTTTTACTACCCCAATGCCTATGAATGGGTAATGATGCTTTATAGCATTGTAAGATACATCTGTTAATATGCGGATAGTTGACACACCTATGAGGGCCTAAATGGTCAGTTGAGATGTGGCTGAAGTAATGTAAATAAGTGAGGAATTTCATTAGTATAAATAATTGAATAGAAAATATATTTATTGGTATGGTTTTTCTTATTACTATTTATTAAACAGCAAGTTTTCAATAATGTTCTTTTCTACGCAAACTTTAAGAAGGTGGTTCTATCCTTTTCTTTTGTGTGCCATCTTTTGTATTACTTATCACTTTTGAGGGCTATTCAATGTGTGTGTGTGTGTGTGTGTGTAACATCCTTATGGTCTCTTCTCTTCATCTAATTCAATTTCTATTGAAATAGTCATCCTTCAACCCAGGAGAAAAGTAAATGCTGTTTTTTTGTTCAGTTTTTTAGGGACTTGTGGATACTGAGCATTATTGGCATTAAGGTAAACTCTTCTTTGAGGCAACTTGATTGCTAGTGACTTCACAAGCATGCCCACACAGTTTTCATAGCAACAGTATAGAAGTGGTCTGCCAATACCTTCTTCCTGGATGTTCTTTTTACTTACCAGAATACTCTGTGGTTGCAGGACTTTCTGGTGGTCTGTCTTCCAAGTAATAACAGGGTTCCACCCTCCTTAACTTTCTGAGATCAGCCAATGTTAAAAATCCCCAGAAGGCTTTCGGTGCCAGTGCCTAGAATTGCAGAATCTCAGAATGGTGACATTTGAAGGAACACAAAATATCTCTATTCAAACCCTCTGCAATATGCAGAAAATGAATCAAACCATTCTCAAGAGGTATCTGTCCAGTCTTTTCTTAAAAATCTCCAGAGATAGAGAGCACATAAAGTCCATAAATAGAGTGTTCCACTGTTGAACAGATCTTATCATAAGGAAGGTTTTCCTTATATTTAAGTGAAATTTAGATAGCTTCAACTTGTACCCATTATTTCTGGTCCTAATTGCTATGGCAATGGAAAATAGGTACTTATCTTCTGTATGGCACCTTTTTATATATCTGCACTGATTCCAAGCCTTTCCTCACTCTTCTTTTCTCCAGATTGAACAGCCTCTCCTCATATGGCATATCCTCAACTCCTTGTATCATGTTTGTCCCTTCTCCGAACCTGTCCTAACCTATCAATAGCCTTCTGGAAATGTAGTGCCAAAAACATGCACAGTACTTCAAGTGTGCTTTTGCCAATGGAGAGTGCAGGGGAATAAGGACATTGCATGTCTGATACAGTGTTTCTTCTAATGCAGCCCAGAACTGCACTACAGGCTCAGTTTGTTGTCAGTTATCACGTCCAAGTCAGAGTCTGACATACTTCCAAGCTATGAATCCCCATGTCTGATGTTTGTGTCCTACATTTTCCCTTCCTAAATGTAATACCTGATTTTTTTCTCTGTTGAGGGACACCTTATTCTTCTCAGCTGAGTTTTCTAGCCTGTCAAGATTAGACTGTAATCAGTATGCAATTATGTCATATGGGGTG